AATCATTTGTTCATGTTTTTGCAGTAGCCAATCTAAAGTTGAAACTATTCATCATTTGTAAATGTTTATAAATGATTACTAATCATTTAGTATATTTATGAGCATTGGACTTTTAGCTAATGTAACAAGGTTTGTGTAAAGGGTGGCTGGTTAAGTTTAGCTAAATGCTTGCTAAAGAAGTAACAGTTTGTAATTTTGGTGCAAAAAATGTATTTATTGCCTCAACACTTACATGTCAGGACAGGCTAGGAGACACAGAGGGATGTGATCAAACAGTGGTATTTATTGGTAGAATCGACAGTGAGAACCAGGAGCAGACGAAAGGTGAGTATGACACTGAGAGTGAATGTCCAGGTGGCTTTGCTTGCCGTAATAGCTGGGTAACTTGCAGGAACCTCGTAGCGTGGCGGGATCGGTGGAGAACTGGAGCGGTGGAGAATCGGGAACCTCAGAGGTAAACAAACACAGGTAATTAGCAATGGAGCTAATTACGAGGAGCGTGTGTGAAGTGAGCACAGATAAAGGGGAGCTTGATGAGCTGCAGCAGGTGCTCCAGTGGTGTCTGGGAGGTCCACGGGGTGATGGTAGTTGGCCCCAATCCAGAATAGAGTGTTGAGCGTCGCGTCATCTAGCGCCGTAGTAGCGGCGAGCCCGCAGAATTCCCAGGCGAACTCTATGAAGGGAAGATCCAGGTGAGCTAGGGCGGCGAACCACTCGGCCACTTCCATAGCTGCAGGGACAGGCATTTTGTTATTTGGTCGGGTCTTCTGTCACGACACAGGCTAGGAGACACAGAGGGATGTGATCAAAGAGTGGTATTTATTGGTAGAATCGACAGTGAGAACCAGGAGCAGACGAGAGATGAGTAGAGACTCCCTGACATTACATTAGTATATTACTCTTCAGTATATCATTAAACATATATTTTGAAACATAAATGAATGAATGAATGAAAGATGCATTTATATAGTGCTTTATTGTGTATTGTTGTACACCCAAAGCACTTTCCAATCATGTGGGGGGGTCTCTCCTCAACCACCACCAGTGTTCAGCATCCACTTGGATGATGCGACGGCAGCCACAGGACAACGGCGCCAGTGCGCTCACCACACACCAGCTACAGGTGGAGAGGAGAGAAAGTCATAGAGCCAATCAAGTGGATGGGGATTATTAGGAGGCCATGATTGACAAAAGGCCATGGGGGCAATTTGGCCAGGACACCGGAGTTACACCCCTACTCTTTACGAGAAATGCCATGGGATTTTTAATGACCACAGAGAGTCAGGACCTCGGTTTAACGTCTCATC